TCTGTGGCCTCACCTGCCATGACCCCTGGCACAGGGACAGAGGGGTCAAGGCAGGGGTGGGGACATGGCAGTGGGCTGAGAGGACCAGTGCCCCTGAGAGTGGTTGTAATGGATAGAGTCATTGGTACAGCAGGAATGAGTGACCAGAGAAAAGGGTAAGTGTCCAGTTTGGGGATGCAGGCAGTCTGGGAAGTGATGGAGATGATCACAGGGTCACAGAGTGTCAGTGGATTAGCCCTCTGGAGTGTAACTATGTGCCATGGAAAAGGAGTCAGGGCTGGCAGTCCACTTCCCAGTGCTCAACAACAAACCAGAAACAAGAACATTACCCAGAGCAAATAGCAAAATGATAAAAAAGCCAAGGATTTTTATGTAATTGCCACAGATGAATCTTCCATAGGACGAGTGGTGAGACAGAGAAAAGCACATCTGCTTCCTCCATGGTCCTTTTGTAGGACCGTCTCACAGGGCAATAGCTCAATGAGTTTAAACACCCCTTGGGCTGACAAACAGCTTGGCTGTAGTCCATCCTCTCTTTGAAGGGATTTGATCTTATCTCTTACACTGCTCTGATAATGTGGCTGTACAAGGAAGTTGACTTGCTATTACTCTTTCTGTAGCAGAATTGGCAAAGGCAGAAAGAGAGGATGGGAATGGCTGACAAGGACAGCATTCCAGCTACCACAGCTCAAACCCATTTGGCAGATGTAAGATTTGTTCCTGATTTTCTGCATAGGGCAGTTGCCTGAGACATCTGAGCAAAGACCACCTGTCCCCCCATCCATCAGGGCGAGAGGAAGCTATGTGTCTCCTAGTGCACCCACAGGCCCACCATCCCTCTGTGCTCACAGACAAGATCAAAGAAAGGCAGCAAAGCTGATGGCAGGTTGGATTGGGCTTTTAGCAACCTGGTCTAGTGGAAGGTGTCAAGAGTGGGCTGGAACAATATTATCCTTAGAGTCCTTCTTACCCCAACAATTCTATAATTTTATGATGTTGGAATATCTCACTCTCATCTCTGCCATGTTCTCCTCATGCATGCTTTGTGCCATGCTAGATATGCTCTAAGTACCTCTAAAGCCAGGTTTAAAACCAACCTATGTTACAGATCAGGCCATGTCTTAAAAGTCACTTTTAACTTTGACAACAGTCCCTGCTGTCATGTCAAGTAGGGACACAAGAGCTCAGCATTGCCACAAGGGCAGTGGTTCACCGTGGTGAAGTCATGGACTGAAAAGTGTCTGAGCTCACCTGGCAGCAGTCCAGGCAGGGCAGAAACACAGGAAAGCTGGTATTGCCCTAACATCTCCCAGTGTCTTTCTCAATAGTTCTTGCTCTGTACCTAGCCTGTCCTGAACAAACTTTGGTCCAAGGATTTTAGATGCCTGCAGGCTTAGGCAGGGTGCTTGTGAGTACTGTTTGTGCATAACTAAGGGGGTTAATCCTATTTGTTTTCAAAAATGCTTGCATGGTTTGATATCCTAAATAGATACCTTCTTGTATGTGAAAGCTACCTTCAGAAATCAAGCCTTTAGGCTCTTGTTGCTGTCTGAGACTTGAAAGTGGTTAAGGAGGAACCAAAAGGAACATTTCAGCAACAGTGAAGCAGAACACTGTTGATGTTTACAATGACTCACATTAAAGTATTTCTCCTGCATAAGGTTAGTACTGCTTTTTTAGTTATGACATCCAGGAAACAGCAAAATTACAATACTCCCATGCCTTTGGGTATCAATTAGCTTAAACTCACAGTATCTGAAAAATGAGTGATATTTACCTAGCTGTGAAGGAAAACGTAGCAAGTGTAGACTGGATTAGAAATGGATGACAACATGCCATGGATTTCACGTAGACAAGGGGACTAGGGAGATGTGTTAATCATGGAATTTCTATCTGTATTTCTGCTTTGTTAATGTCGTAAACTTTGAAATGAAACATTACTTTCAATTTGGGAAAAGCAATGAAATTCCTGGCAAATGAAAGACATAGCTCAGATGACGTTGGAAACATCGGAAGCTGGAATGCTGCCTTTCTATACTCAGTGAACAAGAGGAGATTTCTTGTTATAATTCATAAATTATTGCTGGAATTAAAGGCTTCTTGGGTGCCAGCGGGGGAAATTTATCCATAATTTCAAGTACTTGTCCCATATGAATAGAAACTTCCCTTGGAATCCAAGAGCAGGCATGCAAATTAGCATCACAAAATATAACCTGTTAGAACTAAAATTGTTGACTGCACAACAGATAACCTAGACCCAATCCCTCGCAATGAAATCTCAGGCAATAATCCCTTACTGACTTCACTGACAGAGAGCAAGGGTGACCCATGTGCAAGTTGACTAGAACTGGAACACTGAATGCTGCCAGGGAATCGGGAAATCATGCTGGAGACCCACAAGTGTTATATAAAAGCCAGAGGTAGGTCACACACTCGTCTTTGTCAGCAATAAGATACTTCTGAGGCTAGGTTTGTGCTGCCAGGTCTGAGGGTTTGCAGCACAGCCAGGAAGGAGGTGCTGAAGGCACCGAGTTAAGCAATGTTCGTGGCAGCACAGGCTGAAGTTGCAGTTTTACAGCTCAGAAATTTCCCCTGCACAGACCTGCTCTCCCAGGTTTTGGCCAGGGGCCCTACACTGCTACCAGAGTTCAGCCTGGCTGGGACACTGGGGGTACATAAGGCAGCAGAGAGGGGCAGTTTAAAGCTCTGAGTAATTAAGTCCTTGGCTTTGCACAACAAGCCAACTTAATTTCATCCTATTGAGGCTCTATGAGATGTTCTTTTTCTTTTCTCTATACTACATTATTAATTCGTTTTTAAATATATTAATTGTGAATTAGAAATAACCTTTGTGTTAACGTTAATAATAATAACAATAAAGATATTGTGTATATGTTATGTCTTGTATTATATGTCTTAGAGTGGGGTTATGGGAATGCATCCAAGGCAGAAGATTAATTCCAGATGAGGAAGAGATAAGGGCAATCCTAGGATCTTACTCAAGCAATCTAAAGGTTGTAAAAAGGAGAACATAGCAATTTTCACACTGACTTCTTTAAGCTAAAACCAGAGATTGATATTGTATATTGTGCTACTTCTGGATAAAATCACCTCAAAGAACAACATCAGAGGTCTATGTGATCATCTAATTTTCTTTATAAAGCATGTTCTAGGTGATTGATCTCATGTGAGAAATAGGAAATAGTATCAAGAAAAGTGAAAAAGAGTAGCAAAGAAAAAAATATTTGAGAAAGCTGATAATCAGAAAACTATATTAATGTCATTAATATTTTCCTAGATGGTTTTGATGCCTTCTAGTAGCCATCTCATTAGAGAGAAAGATGAGTGATGAAAATTTAAGTCCTACAGGCTAGAAAGTTACTTCCTCCTTCTGGTACACATGGAGACACTGAGGGAAGAGAAAAAGAGTTGGAAGGCTGTAGGAGACTGTACCAGAAGCTACCTCTGCAGAGAGACACTGTCAGTGTGTAAGATTCACAGGAGAACTCTGCACCAATTTTTGGAGTCATTTCACTCACTCTGGTACTCCTCCCATAAGTCTGTGAGTGGAGTCATGATCACAAGCTCCCTCAGGGGATTTTGCTTCGCCTTGGCTCAGTTGGTCCATTCCTGGGTCATTCCCTGTGCCTGCCCATCTCCTTCCAGGACTAGGGAGGGGTTCTCTCCCTGATGGAAATGCTTCATTTAGCTGTCTGCTCTTTGGATACAAATTCAGACCTCAGTGACCAGATAACCCTTGTGGAGTCCCACCAGCCTTGCCTTGCTGTTTCAGCTGCCCAGACCTAGCAATCCTTCATGTCCTGCTGTGGATGGCCACAGGCATGCTCTGCTCTGGGGATCCTTCTGGTACCAACACAGTGATGTCCAGCAGGAAATAATTTCAGCAAATACCTCAAGTGTACAATATATTTATGAACTCTCCTTTCACATCTCTATTATGCTGACCGCTCTGTGGAAGGGGGTTTATCTCTCTGCACATTCAAAGTCTCACCTGCTTCCCAGTGCTGCAAGCTTACCCAAAATCTTGTGCCAGCCCCACACAGAAGTCTTGGATATGTAGGACTGTCTTCAATGGCAGAAGACATCTCTCTTCAGGATTCCAATCCCCACTGCTTTGTCCTCATTTTTGGTAGTGCATGAAGGGTGTGATTTGGCATGGAGGACAAGTGGACCCAATCTAGAGTGGGCCTGCTGTTGAGTCTCACCAGTTCTTACCACCAGCGGCAGAAATTGAGAACAGAGTCTTGTCCTTGTCTCTCTGACAAGGACAGCCATCAAAAAGTTTGATCCAGGAAACCTCAGAGCTTTTTAAAACCTTATAGTAAGTATCAAAGAAGGAGAATGGGGCAATTCTCTGAGAAAGTAAAAAACCTGCTGAATAAAAGTAGCATTATAATATCTTGGCTTAATTTTTATAATTTTTATATATGCTGGGAAAAGTGCTTTCATTTATTTGTGTTAATTTCACATTTTTCTGCAGAAATAAAAAGATCATTTCATCCAGTGCAAACTGTTTTTTAAAAACTGCCATAACAAATCATTGCTTCATCAAGCAAGAAGTTATAGCACTGACAGGACTCTACCAAAGGAAAAGATAGTGGCACTACAATAGCCAAAAGAAAAGATATAAGCCCCCCTGAAAAAAAAAAACCCAACAAACTAGAAAACTAATTTTCTGTTTGTAGTCTACAGTCCTGTAACATTCTGTGAATATTTATCCCTTTAGGCACTTCAACAAGCCTTCTGAAATAAATATTATCTTTGAATGGAAAACGTTAAAGAGATATGCTTTAAGTTTTGGAAAGCAAGACTACATTTTAACAATTAAAAGGTGAATAAGCTCATTAAAAAGAACTACAGGTCTATTATATTCTCATTAATCATATTTCCATGTTGCAAAACCTGCACAAGGGTGGAACCGGATGAAAGACAGCACTGATCTGTTTTATGGTAAAACTCTTGTTTTGCTGTTCTGTTGCTAACTAGACATTGTGTGAATCAATGAGTCAGGAATTGGAAAGCTTTATAAAGCAGAAAAGTACTATATAAAGGTGATGCAGGTGTGTGGAAGACTACAAAAAAGACTTCTATAAAGGCTAGTGGAAATGAGAATGGAAAATCTCCTATTTCTCCTATTATTATGTGCAGCACTTTCTTGTGCTCTTCCTGCAAGTATGAGACAGCCAAAGGAAGAAGATGTGCAGCTTATCCAGGTGAGGAAGATAGAGATCTGGGAGATGTTTAGCTACAACTGAGCATCCACAGCAGTCTGTGTAACTAGTATAGAGCAGCCAAAGAGCAAGTAGAATAAATAACTGAGTGAATATTTCTCAAAGTGCATATGTGATGACAAAGGCTACCTTAGCACCATCTTATTTTACTTTTTTCTAGATACCAATTAAATCCAATGATGCATTCACTCCGTGTTAATTCTACAAATAATTAAGCTCCTGTGTCAGTCTAGGGTTGGTTTGTAGTTCAGGTGGAAATGTGGTTATTTATGTGCTTTGTGATATTATGAAATATAACCCCTCATGAAGTATAGTTATATTTTTTCTGAACTATTACTGTCTAAAATGTGGGGAAACAGGATGCAACTACTGAAATTTTATATTCAGTTATGTATTTCAAATTACTTTCTCTAAAGGACTCTAGGTAACCTTGGAGGGCAAGGCAAGTTGTCAGAAAATAATCTATTTTAAAAAATGTTAATTTTAAATGTCTTTTGATAGCTACAAAATATTTATAGTGATAATACAATGTAAAAAACTACCATTAAGAGAAAAATATTCATACAGGCTTTAGCAAACTATCCATAGAACAGAAAGAAAAGCAGCAAAGGCACATGACTGATTTGTGTTAGTTCAATATAATATCTTAAATATTATTTTAATATTAAAAGTAATAATATTATAAGTTTAATATCATTAATATCTTATATATTGCTTAAAAGCAAACATCATTGATTGTTCTAAGTTTTGGGGGTTTTTGTTTCTCTTTTTCATTAGAAGTACCTGGAAAATTACTATGGCTTTAAGAAAGATGGGGAGCCTTTTGTTTGGAAAAGTAATAATGCAATGACCCAAAAACTAAAAGAAATGCAGGAATTCTTTGGGTTGGAGATGACAGGGAAACTGGATTCTGGCACTTTGGACTTGGTACAGAAACACCGCTGTGGATTCCCTGATGTAGCTGGGTTCTCCACCTTTGCAGGAGAGCCAAAATGGACAAAACAAGTCTTGACATACAGGTAATCACAATGGAATTCTTCATGTCAAGACACTGTGAAGCACAGGGTGAGTGGTAACAACACAACTTGTTCTCTCCCATATTTTAAAGGATAGTGAACTACACACCGGACCTGCATCCAGCAGATGTCAACTCAGCGATCAAGAAAGCGTTAAGTGTTTGGAGCAGTGTGACCCCGCTGAGATTCATCAAGAAGGACAGAGGTGATGCAGACATAATGATCTCCTTTGCAGCCAGAGGTAAATCTCTATGTAACCATTACAAGTTACTGCCTATATGGAGCAGTTGACCTGGAATGATTTCTCCCATACATAGCACATGTGGAGATCAATGTCCAGCTGAACAAGCAGACAGAAAAATTAAGTTCTTGCTCTCGGTGCTACGGTTACAGCTCTTGAAACATTTTGGGGGAGGGATAGAGTCAGATGAAGAGAAAGAGGAAGAAAATTTAGGGAGCTGCCAGTAGTTCACTGGATCAATACCTGCTGTGTGCTACTCAATGTGTGTGAGAACCCCAGTCAGCTGTGTTTGGGGTTCGCTCCTCAGGTCACAATGACTTCATCCCCTTTGACGGCCCAGGAGGCTCCCTTGCCCATGCCTATGCACCTGGAAAGGACTTTGGTGGAGATGCTCACTTTGATGAGGATGAAACATGGACCAAAAGCACAGAGGGTAGGTAACTAAGTTCTCCAAGCCTTCCTGAAGCAAGTTGCACATGGAATCAAGGGTACGGTATCTGTCTCCTCTCTCTTACAAAGTGTTTAAATTGCCACGGATTTGAAGGAGCATATGGTTTGCATAGCAATAAAAAGCCTCTGAGCCTCTGGTTTAAGAAGACGCCAGCTCAGCTTCTGCCATGCCCTGGGGGAGCTTTATTTGTAAGGGGGCCCCACTTCTTCCCACTCCTCAAACCTCTTCCTTCACAATTACCTCACTTGTACTGGCCCAGGGTCCTTCTTCTACACTGAATTCTGCAGGATCTACAGACTATTTCCTTGCACTCTGCTATGATTCCATTATTTTTACTTCTGACCAGAATTTCATCTCCAACTGAATTTCCCACAAGTTCATTTTCTTGAGCAAGCATCTTTGAAATCTTCTGACCTACCTTATGCCCTTCTTGTTATTCAGGAGAAATAAAAAGACATAGCTCTCCTATTATGTGTTTTGTTTGATGTTTTCAGGCGCGAACCTGTTTTATGTCGCTGCCCATGAGTTTGGCCACTCACTGGGACTTTCCCATTCCAAAGACCCCAGTGCTCTGATGTATCCAGTTTACAGGAAATTTGACCCTTCAGTACACCTTCTTCATCAGGATGATATTACTGGCATACAGTACCTCTATGGTAATTCAGAATTTTTCATCAACTACTGCTTTTAATTTCAAAGACTTTGGAGACCTTTCAGTGACATTTTTGTGTACTGGATATACCTCAGTGAGTTCACACTATAATTTCTTCCATAAACTGCTTCTTTTAGGATCATCTCCTAACACAAACAATGATCAAAGGGAATCTACTGAGATAAAAGACCCAACTGAGTCAAAAGATCCTGCACTGCCAAACAGCTGCAGCTCCAATTTAACGTTTGATGCTGTCACCACTTTCCGTGGAGAAATAATGTTCTTTAAAGACAAGTAAGTCAGCTTCTGAAAGTAAAATACCTGAGTGTCACTTTTTAAATTATGCCACACAGCACAGAAAAGTAACTTTAATTTGAATATCAGCCATTTTTGACAGGAAGATAAGACAGGGAATCAGGAGACAAGATGGAAAACGAAAACAAAGAGGGTGGTGGAGAAATTAAGAGAGATAAATACAAGGAGGAGGATGACATTTGGAACAGGGGTGCTGTGAAGAGGGTGGGGGAAATGGCTCCTCTGAAAACATGTGCTGTCCTCACTATAGGCTGTAAGCAAGTCCCAAGTGTTCAGGGAGACTTCAGCTTTGGCAAAACACGACACCAGCTCTGGGACACTTCATGCCCTCTTTGCTGTCCTTGCTTTGAGAGAGCTGAGAGCTTTCCAGCCCTGACAAAATACCTGCTTGAGGAGTTCCTGTAGTGAGGATTTAGTGTACTAATAAAAGGAAAGGAAAATTGGGCTTTTGTTGCCAAAATCTTAGTGCATATCAGCCTTGTGAAACAGGTCTCTCTAAGCTCCACTGGTGCATAAGGGGAAATAAATGTTTTGACAGAACAGCTCATCTGACTTATTTTAAATGTCTGCATCAAGAAGAGAGCAATCCCACCATGGAAATAACTGTCTTTACATTAAGTTCATAGGGAATGTAGCATGACTAACTCAGGTACATAGCTGAGTTATATCAGATAAATACTGCCCTGATGGCCATGATGTGGTTTCATGCCTTAGTGTGTGTGAACGTCCAATTTTATTTAAAACCTGTTCTATATTTACACAAGGCATATTTGGCGCAAACATCCAGCAGTCAGAACAGTTGACTTTGAGTTGGTATCTTCATTCTGGCCACAGCTGCCACCTGGTGTCGATGCTGCATATGAAATTCCTGAAAAAGATGAAATGGTCATTTTTAAAGGTAAAATGTTGTCTTTTGATTTTCCTGTTTTCTTCCCAAGTAGACTAGAGACTTTGCATCTGTCTTCAAAACAACTTAAGCTCTTTCTGTAGGATTCTACAGTCTTGAATTTAGTCCAATAAACTGGCGTGTTTCAATCACAGAAATAATAAAATTATTATCTAAGTTAAAGATCATCTATCTTATTTCTTAATATCCACATTGAAAATTTTCCCTGCCAAAATAAATGTTATTATTTTTCTTCTGGGAAATTTTCTATTGAATTTAGGAATGATACTAGCATTTATATGAAGAAAGACTGAAATTTCAGTTTTCAAAAAAAGTAATGTGGAGAACTATTGCATTTTTTTTGACTCTAGAACTACTTTCAGTTATTTTCAAATTCAATGATTATTTTCAAGTAACCACCAGCTTTCATGAAAAACATTGTGTCATTCCCAAAAGAAGATATTCACAACATGTTATCAACTTTTCTTAATAGGGAATGAATTCTGGGTTGTGAGAGGAGATATCATACTTCCTGGATACCCCCAAAAACTCTACACCCTGGGCTTTTCAAAGGATGTTTCCAAAATTGATGCTGCCTTTCATAATGGAATTGAGGGGAAAACATATTACTTCATAGTGGACAAATTTTGGAGGTAATATTTCCTGTGCTACTTTTCTAAACAAAAGCAAACATAATCACATGGTCAATATCCTGTCATGATTTAGGATGCATTAGTCAGACACTTTTGGTGATCTCTTTCAGTGTCACAACTGGCTGTGAAAAAATATTTGAAAGGAGGTAGAACAGTGCTTTTAGTTTTCGTTTTCGTTCATATAACAGTTTATTTGTTTATTTGTTTTTTTGTTTTTATTTAGTTGTCTTGGTTAAAAGGTCATTGTACAGCTCCACAAATTGTCTCAGGAAATCAGGCAGAAGTTCATTATTCACACATCAAACATGTTTCTGTGGAGTAAGAAGGAGGATGTCACCCACTTTCCAGTTACTAACAGATAGTTTCATAAAGTTGCTGATAAATGCCATGTACTGTAAAGAATTATATACTGTGCATGGTTTTTGTTTTTTCATTTCAATCCCATCCTTACTGCTCGAGTTTGTCTTACAGGACATAGATTTCTAACAGCTGAAGGAGGTGCTCCTGTAATGGAAGCAGTAAATAACCTGAATTATTTTAGATGACAACAAAACTTCTCTTTCCTTCCACCACAATGCCCAAATGGTTGTATATAGAGATCAACCTAGAGAATTATTCAGCTACATGTCTGTAGTTAAAGCAGATGATCAAACCTCCATATTTTAGGTAAAACTCTTGTAACTTGAATGATGAATTTGATCATTAAACCTCTTGCTAAGCAAGTTATAGAAGGGAAAAACTTTCACAAGTCTTCTTATTCCAGCACAGAGAGATAAACTGCACATCACCAAAAATATAATAGCTTGCTGTAAGTAACAAGTAAACTGACTTAAAATACATTATAATTTCAGAAAAAGTCCAGATTTTTGATGAAAAATCTTTATTACAGAGATACAACATGAAGGAAATATTTTTATAATCTATTATCTATTGCTCCTTTAGGCATGGTCACTTAAAAAAATTAAAAACAGATTTATGGTGATGGTTCCAATATTAGGTATTCATACGTGGAGTAAATAGAAGCAATTAATCCAGTGCAGCTAGTAAAGTAGTAATTAATTTATGGCAAATTGTGTCTCTTTCTACACTACCAAATGACACTGAAAATCTTCAATGAACTTGGATTTCTGTTGATAGGTAGAAGATAATGAGCTGAGAGGAATTAATCATAAACTGCTTTCAGGTTTCACTGACTCCTGTTTGTTTATAATTTTTCTCAGTTATGATAAAAGAAATCAGTCTATGGATAGGAAGTCATTACTGCTAAGAGATGCATTTCCAGGAATTAATGGGAAGATTGATGCTGTTTTTCAATATGAAAGTGAGTAACTGTTCTTGCTAAAATCTGTTTGAAATGCTCAGTGTGATAGGGCTGAGGTTGCTTGGGCAGAGACAGGTACTTCCACATGCTGCTCAGAACCCACAGGATGACCAAGACCCTGAAGCAGTCACATAATGCTTCACTTTACCCCCTTGAAAAATGGTGATGGTACACCTTTGGTGACAGCTGCCCCTCTGGAAAGGCCAGCTCTAGGGGAGAGATACATCTGTATTCATGCTGATGTGCACATCACACCCTGAAGAAAAACACTCAACACAGTGACATCTCAACAACATAAGGTGTTCCTATTACAGCCTGGCCCTCTGACATGAAACAGTCAACACCAGTTTCTCTTGCAGAAGGGTGAATGTTATTTAGACATGGAAATGCAGGGCTAGACTCAAGGATACATTCACACTGCCACGTGTCACAGCTTCCCAGTTGTCTCCTTGCTCCTCATCTGCTGCTCATCCAAACCCATGCGTGGTAATTTTTTCATAATTTTAAGCAAATCTTACTTCTTCCTCCTAAATGAGTCTCACACATGGAGCTGAGAGACCTCACTCCCGAGAGGGCAATGTGGACATGACTAGCCCAGGCTGGACCTCTCCCTCCCTGCATGGAATCTGGCAGCACCTACTGAGGAAGTGCCTGCTCATACCTTGCTGTGCTCTGTGCCACACTCTGCTCTGTGCAATACCTGCCCACAGGTGGCTGCAAACATACCCTGCTGGGTGTTCAGCACAGCTGGTGTGTAAGAGCAGATGTTTTAAACAGAAGAAACACACAGGATGCATCTTTTGTAGAGTGATCTTGTGGGGTTCATAAAGTACATGGTGCAGCACGTGCATGGCTGGTTTGCTGTGAAGGATGTCTCCATGCTGCTGCACCATCTTTTGCAGAGGTTACACCTGGGACTAGATGCTGTTGGCAGCATATTTGTATCCAAAGGTTGCTTTGAGCTCTTTGAGGATGTTGTTAAAATGTACTAATCTTTATATCCACAATATAATAATTCATCTGGGTTTGGGGTTTTGTTTTGTTTTGTTTTTTTTCTAGACTTCCTTTATTTCTTCAGTGGAAGAAAGCAATTTGAGTTTGACCTTGATAAGAAGAGAGTTACACGCTTCCTAAAGACAAACTTTTGGTTTCCATGTTAAGAAAATTAAATCTGTAATGGTGTTGGAAAGAATGTATTGTTATTGTGCTAGAAAAGCTTTTCCTTTTATAAATATATAAAATGTAAAGGTACTTCAGCACTAGTCAGAAGACATCCTGCACAATCATCAGTCATCAGTCCCTGCATAATCTGTGTTTCTTTAAATAATAGAACAGTATTTAGCATATTGATGTGCACACAGGAAAGTAGTTAACATCAGGCTGGCTAGCTTACCTAGCTTAAACAACAATGCAGTTTTTACTTTTGATACAAAATTTGATTTTGTGATTGATTTTATTATTTCTGCCATCTTCTTTTCATTCTTCTCAACTTCTTCATCACCCTACATAGAGCCCTGCCATAGAGTCAGGAGTCCATGAGGAAGAGCATTTCTCTTCCTAAAGCTAGGATTGCTTTCAACCTGTTTTAAATATTTCAAAGCTAAAAAGGAAGACTTAACTAGTTATTGTAGTTACAGTGAGACATACAGGAGTTCCAGAGATCAATCCCTCCCAGCCTGAGGGGTCCTGAGAGGTGGAAGTTCTTTTTTACACTGACTGGAGAGGCAGTTTATGTTGGACACCTGATAATAGAAGGCTAAATTTAAATGTGATGAATTCTAAACTATTGATTGATATATGCAATTTCCTGTGCAATGTGCTCTCAGGGAGGTTGGAGCAGATGACCCTACTGTTGTCCCTTCCAACCTTACCCATCCTGTGAGCAAAGGCTCATTTCCCTGACATGGGGCACACTGTCATGTAGGAAAAACCTGGGCACCACTAACCTGCCTCTGCTCCTCTCCAGTTTTCCCTGGACAGTCCCCATTGGCTGGGGGACACCTGTCCTGTGTCAATGAGAAGGTGCCCATCACCTTACCTTAGGGGCTGGGTGGGTAGGGATCAACATCCCAGGTAAGAGCAATAGTGTATTTCATACCATTTATTTTGCCATGTTCAAAGGGGACTATGGGGATGTTCAAAATTTATTGTAAGTTGACTGGAAAGAACAAGAGCAAGGAAATGAAAGGATCAAGATAGGTTGGGAAGGACAGGGAAAATAGAGGGATAAGTGCATGAGAGGGGTTGGTTGTGTGCAAACAGATTGCAGTCAGCTGCTTTTTTGGCCATGCCCTGCACATTTGGTCCTGTCTTCTCAGTAAATCATGCCTTATGTCTGGGTGAGATCTTTCTGTGTGAGTTTGGGTGAGCTTCATGCTGGACTGGCTGCTGAAGAGCTTAAGAGAACTGAACACCAGCAGCTGGAGCATGGCTGCAAGCTACAGGGATGTGAATGTTCCTGGGGATCCAGGAGGTGCAGGACCAGCTGATCTAATGGGAGGGCTGTGTGTCAAAGAGGGCTCCTGAGGGCCTCCACACTGTTGGTATTTCCACATTGGTGCTTCACCATGGGACAGAAGTTCTCATCAGAGGGAGGTGAGCAATGGGGTGGGGCCATGAGTCCTTTCCATATTTGTCCAAGTGCTCCATGTTTTCTGCCTGTGACAGCCTCTGTGGCCAGTCTCACAGTGCTCTGGACACAGGGAGCAGACATGAACCAGCTGCCAGTTCAATACTGCTGACATAATTTACCTGATGCTGAAGCCAGACATCACTTGGGGGCCACAATTATTTACATGGACAACTAGCAAGATCTAAGGTCTTAGAGAAGTTATCCTTTCTTTCATGCATATAAAAAAATCTCTCCCAGCAACAAATGCCTCCCCCTGATTAAACAACATCCCCCAAAAAGGAAAAAAGTTGTGAAAAAATAGTTGTTCCATTTGATTCTGCTTCTCCATGAATCACAGAATTGCCAAAAGGTTGGTTGGGCCTCCGGGGGTTATCATGTTCAACCCCTTCTGCTCAAGCCCACCTAGAGTACGCTACTGACTGGCCTTTTGGGGATACTGCTTTTGCACAAAGGAGAGACTACACCACCTCACATTCTGACAACATTCTGTCACTCTCACAGTCAAAAAGTGTTTCCTGATGTTGAGAGGGAACCTCCTGTGTTTCAGATTGTGCCCATTGTCTCCAGTCCTGTTGGGACAAGGTGGTTGCATTCTATTTATGCATAAAATTGTACTACAAGATTGTAGTGAGATATTTCAATACACTTTATGTAACCTTTTTTCTGATCCATTTTTAAAAGTCCTGGTAGCAGGGATACTCAAATGGGGCACTCCAGTCACTGAGGAATCTTTATCTGAATTCTATCAGGGTCAAAACTGTATAATGGCATTGTCAATCTTGCAAGACAAATACTGCTGCCACACCTGCTGTAGAGGTGGCAAACAAGGCTTTGCTGTCCAAGTAGAACTAAAGTAAAAATGATTAATTTTAATGGCAGCACCTTGAGAAAAGGAAATGAGCAGCTCTGGTCAGGTTCTGATATTGCCAAGGTTGGAGAAGTAGGTTCAAGCCCTGTAACTCGAAAGTTTCTATTTAATTTAGCAAGAAATATTTCTGTGCTGTGTATTTCTTTCTTATTAGTCTCCTTTTACTGTTCCTGTTTTCTAATTCTGTATTTCCTTCATGTTCCTGGTATGGCTTTTTGATTGGTCTCACAGCTGCAAGTGTTAATCAGTCCATGGTCTCAGATAAAACTATGAAAGTTAAAAATATGCATGATCAGCTTGGCTCACACTTATAGTGTTTTTGGTTATGTTTTTGTTAGTGGATTTGTTTTTTGGTGGGGTTTTGTGGGTTTTTTTGGGTTGTGTTTTTTGGGGTTTTTTGGTTGTGTCTTTTTTGGCAGCTTTTTTTGGGGTTTTTTTGTTCCTTCAGGAAGTTTCTAACTGTTCTGGTTTGAATAGTTTTATTCTGTTGTTCCTACTGCTGATGTTCTATGGTGTCTGTGCTTTGCACATCATTTCCACTGTGGATAACTGCATGAGACCATGTTATTTTAAGTGGGATAATCTCTTCCAGCTCTGGTTTATTCAAATTTCTTTTGGAAATATTGTCTTTCAGATAAGATTATGGATCTCAGAATAAAGCTGGCTGGTCCTAGACCTTCCATGATTGTTTTGTAGTTCTGATGTTGGTATCATTTTTTCTTCACAGTTCTTATTTTAAAAATCTCCGGTACTACTAACAAGACAGCCTTTCCATTTGAGTGAAAACAGACTTTTGAATTGAAGGTGATTGACCTGTATACAATATCCTGTGCTCTTCTGAAATACAGTTTGAAACCTAGGGTCTGAGTTAAATGCACTCATTGTCTGTGGTACACTTGGTCCAAGCATCCCAGTTATAGTTTTCTCAGTCTCCTGAACACACCAGATTTTCCCTGTTCTAGCCAATTTCTACCCTGTTTGCATAGAAACCTGGATGAAGACAAAAATCTCTCTCTCACAAGGACCAGGCTTATTATGTGACTCTAGAATTCAGATCACAAGAATTTCTCTGTTTCCTTCTGTGTTTTATATGTAATGTCTTATTTGTTATGGTTTTCACCATCTCGTCTTGGAGGACATTTTGACTATATTTGAAGGTATATATTTGCCTTTTGCTTTCCAAGAACTCCATAGCATGACCATCAGACACAATCAAGAAGGCTCAACATGGAAGTCCCAGCACTATCTAACCAAAGAAAAAAGCTGTTTGGCTTGCAAGTTCTTACTCTTGCTATTTATTGGTTTTCTTGGTTTCACACACTCATCCTGCCTAGAAGGGACGAATGACCTTTGATATTGTTCTTGGCAGGATTACAAATATAAGATCAAACAAGGTTGGTCTGAGGTGCTGACCTGAACTGAAAGATATTGTGTAGTGATTTAAACACTCAGACTAAGAGCAGAGAGTTTATCGCCTCAGTAAACCAGACAAAGGTAACTGATAAATTCTTGTAGAACAGAATGAGATTAAAGTGAGTCCATTTAAATATTGTCTGCAGGAACTTGTTCCTAGTGAGATTTTTTAATTTGGTTAGTGGAAATGCTGTAGGGGGGAAAAAACCTTTCTTGGTAGCAAAACCAGCAGGCTTGTAGGTTCAGAGGTGTTTAAGACAACTCAGAGCTACAAAGATGCATGTTTTAGGTGCTGTTTCTGTTACAGAGAAAAATACTTTAAAAGTGCCCAGGAGCAGACTTTGCTTCCAGATTATTCCCTGGCAGCCTCTGAACTTCCATCTGGCTGCCAGGAAGAAAACCACCTTCGCAGGTTTACAAGCAGTAGCTGTCTCATTGGATGTTTTGGCATTTGTGCCATGTGTCTAACTGGGGGACTGTGAATCTATAGGAGTTCCAGTAAGTCCCAAATGTTGCAGATCCCTAGGAAATACGCAGATTTAGTTTGTAGATCAGTCTGGACACATTGATTCTTCTTGCTGCCTCTTTCAGGACAAGTTTTACATCCACACAGCTTGTGTGATAGCCACCAAGTTTAGAAGCAAAGCTTGGTAATGTTGGTTCTGCAGGGCATCCCAAGGCAATCTGCCATCTCAGGAAATCAAGACTTGGACACAACAGACCAGATTCCCATCCCAGGTAACAGCCCAACTGCAAAGATGAAGAATATAATTTTATTTTCCTGTGCTCAGGAAACAGGTGCTTGGAATGGAAAGTGGCACTCCTTCCCTTTTTCTTTTACTGGAATAATTGATGATGCCATGTCTGAGACTGTGCCAGTCACTGAGGTGTGACACAGGCGCTGCCCTGGCGTGGGACTGGTCACACTGAATTGCTTTTCTACAATAGGATAGTTAGAACTGATTCAGCACCTGTCATCCTGGGCCCTATCACAGTGGCCTTTGGACTTCTGAGTGGTTTGAATTATAGTTACATTCCTAATACTGCCAAGCACTGCACCCTGGTTTGTAAACCGAGTGACTGATCATTCCCTTGGAGTAGCACCAACAGCAGTTCTATAAAGGAAATGTTTAACACCAGGTGACATGAAGCCATGAGCTTGTGTAAACTTCAGGACAGCTGATTTGGAGGCTTACCTTTGGCTGTTTCATCTAAATATTAAAATTGACTTTGTTTATTAAAGAAAAACTCCTCATGAACCCTGTAACTTCAAGCAAATATCTGGCATTCAATAGAATATTGCTGCACAGTGACACAACTAGGTTTGCAAAAAGATTTTTATTTTTTTGTTTCAAAATAGATTGGAAGTTGTTAGAAGATTAGGATATACAAAAAAGCACAGAATAGAAAGAAAAGTACTTCCTGTGGGAACAATGCTTATTTTGTAGTGTCACCTGCTATTGAGAAAGCAGTTGCAAACATAATTATGACAAATTGTAACAGTAAACAATTCTTAGAATTATGAGGTATTAAAATTACATAACTACCAATCAATGTTCCCTTTTCTACAGTAATTTTGTTGTGAGAGACTTGATTTAGGGAAACCCCACAATGATTCACACTGTGAATTTAGTTTTTTCATTATTCAGTCAGGGGTGTGGGTGGAAGTCATTAGAATATGTTACCAGAGATAGCTAGGGGAATAGGGAAATAGCTTCAAGCTCTAAGTAAGTGAGGCACAAAGTAAATCAAAATCACAGAGACAGAAAATTGTTCAAGGCTGGGAAATCCTTCTGGAGAAATCTCCCCTTAATGTCTCTGCCTAAATATCTCTTTCATTTAACACTGAAAAGGGAAACAGTGCTGGGTAGACCTCTGGCAGTGTTTACATTTTTGTGCAGACCTAAAAGTGAGGAGCAGTCAGTACAGTACCTAGAAAAGGGACACTTTGAGGTCTCTTGTCTCAACACAAGGAATAAGGATGCAGTTTTGCTGAGGAAGAAGTGTAAAAATAAAGCAGGATTATTGCAAATACAGGGAGACACAAATCTGTACTGCTTGGGTGTACACTGAAAAAATTCTTGAAAGCACTGGCTTGACATCTATGCCACTTTCTCTTCTTTAGCAGTGGCTTAGCAGATGGGTACCAGACCTAGCACTGTGATTCAGGGTGAGTGAGGCAATGATATTTTGGGTCCAGACAAGAGCTGTCTCTGAAGAGCTGTTGTGGATAGGTAAGTGTAAAGTTTCTGTCTCTCCTTTGATGACACAGAGATTTTCCATGTAAGCAGCTCTGGAATAGCTCTGCTATGAAGACAGGCTTAGAGAGCTGGGAAAAGAAGGCTTCAGGGACACATCATGTGGTCTTCCAGTACTTAAGAGTGACTTATAAGAAAGAGGTTTAGGGACTTTTTACAGGGGCAGATAGTGATAGGACAAGGGCAAAAGGTTTCAGATTAAAATACAAGAGATTTAGATTAAATCTTGGGAAGAGGTTCTTTACTTGGAGTGTAGTGAAGCACTGGAATAGTTGCCACAGAAGTTATGGATGTCCCATCCATGGAAGTGTTCAAGACCATGTTGGATGGGGTTTTGAGCAACCTGGTCTGGTGGAAGGTACCACTACCTATGGTAAAGATGTTGGAACAAGATGACCATTAATGTTTCTTCCAATCCAAGTCATTCCATGATTCTAAATTTCTATGATTTTAAACAAACTCCAGGTAAGGACAGTGTGTTTAGAGTTCACCATGTCTGGTACTCTGATAGACCTGAGGCTGCTGCAGCTCCCTG